AAAGCCAAGAATTTTGATCAAGAAAGGAATAAAGCCCTGAGAATGGAAAAGAGCAGCAGTTCCAAAGGCACAGATACACAGAAGTAATGAGGAGTGTCAGAGGGAGGACTGGTAAGAACCAAGGACAGCACATGAATATTTAGACTGAGCATCAGCAGAAAAGTCCTGTCAGTGTGATGTGTGCAATCATCCTAAGGGAGGTAACTGAAGCTTGTTGCTGACAACCACCACTTTTCAGCATTTCAGGCTGGCAGCTCCGTTTCTACACCAAACATCCCCATCAGTCCTTTCATTCTATGGTAAACAAAAGAAAAATATGTATAGTTAATACTGTCAGCAATGGTCCTATATGAAATAGGTTTGCATGGTGAGAAGCTGAAATCGAAAGAAATGAAGAAGTGAGATGGGGCCCCAAAATAAAAAGGACATGGACCTGTTGGAGTGAGGCCAGAGGAAAACACAAAAATGCTCTGAGGGTTGGAGCCCCTCCGCTCTGGAGCCAGGCTGGGACAGCTGGGAGTGCTCACCTGGGGAGGAAAAACTCTGAGAAGACCTTAAAGCCATTTCCAGAGCCTAAATGAGCTACAAAAGAGAGGGAGAGAGACTTTGAACAAGTGATAGGACAAGGGGGAATGGTTTGATTGTGCTTCCACAAGGTGGAATAGAAGCTCATGATAATTGGTGATTAAACATAACTGTGGCTAAAAGTTCTCACCTCTGTTAGGACAGTATCAATAAATTTTGAAAAAAAATCTGTAAGTTTTTAGTGTATTAAAATAACAGAATTATTGAGGACACCAAGTATAATAAATATTGTCCACATGTTCTAGGTTGTATTAGGTTCCATCACAATATCATGATCTAGAAAGGATTATATGTGGTACAAGATATTGCTGCAATTAAACTAACCTGGGCACAATGTTCACCTAACAATGCCTTGATGGAATAAGATAACAATGTGAAAGGGGGAAAACAACTATTCATCTCTGTCCTCTTTGTGTTTGGGGCACATGTATAAAATTTTGGGTGAAAATTATTTGAGATCTACAAAATGTTGCTGATCAAATCAATGTTAGAATAAATTGCATCTGGCTTGTAAAAGAATTTTACTAGAAGGAAAATTTAGAGAGTTCATTCTGAACTAGATAGCACCCAAAAGAAGATTTATGTATTATAAGGTCTACGCCATTGTACATTGGAGAAACGTGATTGCATACAACATCCAATTTCACCTTCCTTTCTGGGCAGTTCTCAGAAAAAGCCATCCAAACCAGCAGTCATTTATCTTTGATTTAAGCACAATTTGATGCCTGCTTAATATACACACAAGTAATAATTCAAGACAGCACAAAATGTGCATTTGACAGGCTTCCAAAAGACACCAATGCATTTTAACATTTTTGCATTTCCAGGCATAAATTCACAGGGGGCTCTCACAGGAAATGATTTGAAAAATTCTGTGCACTAATATGTTCTCTACAGAGTACTAATTTAAAACACTCAGTTCAGTGTTTTAAGCAGCCTCATGCTTTATTTCCTGCAATGCTTATAGGATTGTGTTATTCAGAGACCCTGTCACTATTTACCTGTACTACAGCATCACCCCTCAAAATACCCAAAAACTGGGGATTTGGAGGCTTTTACCACTGTACAGATTGTAATGATAATAATAATCTACAGAAAATCTCTATAAAATATGACTGACAAAACTATGCCCTAGAGAGCAATGTTTAAATAATAATATACACACATAATGTCATTGTTATATTGATTTATACAGATGTGACATTACCAACACTTTATGTGAAAGAAAAAAGACAGTTAATAAAAAGGAAAATCTTGTCATATAACTTATTAAATCAAGGAAAAATCTTAAACCAGTGTTGAACAACACGTATACACAATTCTCCATCTCACCTGCCTTCTGAAACATCCCCAAAGCAAGCATTTTATAAATAAAAGAGCAAACCAGCTCCTAGATCAAACTTCCTGCAACTCACAGCTTGTTTGATCTGACTTGGCCAGAAAAAAGATTTCTCTAAACAAATCCCTCTAAATAAAACATCTTTTCCCTGAAACCTATCAGCTCATTATTGGTTCTTTAGGAAATTTTGCATCATTAACAGTGAAGGGGGGTAGTTTCAAGATATTCATGAACTTGTTAGTGAAGGAGGATTAAAACATATCTTAGCCTACACTAGAAGGTTTTGAAGGTACATAGATTTACCAGCTGCAGAATAAAAAAAGGTAGCAACACATTTCCTATACATACACCTTGCTAAATTCATAATAAAATTCCTGAGTGCAAAAAAACCCCCACAAAACCAAGTAAAAGGCACTCTGACCAATCATTATTGCAAACAACATGTGTTTCTCAAATTGTTTTTTGACTGAAATCAAACTGAGAGCAGAGGACACCTGGAGGTGTCTGGCTCCTAATGAAAGAAACACATCTACTGAGACAAGATCGGATTTTGTATATTTGTTTTTCCTGTTGAAAATTGGTGTTTCCAGTGATTCATAGCCCAAACCTCTCCCCTTCAGCTCTGTAGTGATGAAATGACCAGACTGAAAACAGGTTCCTGTTTCAGACCCTAATGTCTTCAGTGATTCCTTAGCCCATCCACCACAAAGCTCTTTAAAGATGATGCTTGGTTTAAAAGGACAGAAAATTAAAATATTAAGTGAATTACAATGGAAAGTATAAATCCTTATCCTCATCTAGATTTAATATTTGATTGTTCCATTGACATAATTGTGTAAGACAAGAAAAATGGGATGACGACAGAAGAATGGTAAACTCAGAGGAGAAAGTTACAAGCAGGATTTTTCTGCAATCCTTTTTATGGAAAATGTAAATAATTTAGAACCCGTGGACCAAACTTACACCCCCTTTTCTACTGTAAGTTATTATGTGCACAAGATAGTTTTTTATGCTGTATCAATTTTTAAATAGACTAAATTCCACAGATTATGCAACATACCAAAAATAAGACACCAGTTTCATGAAAGCCGGTGCCCTTAATGCAATAAAAACAGGCAGATAAAGTGAAACTTAGCAGCTAAATAACACATTAAGATGACATATACCAAAAGAAGCAAAGTATTTACAATGTTGGGATGTTATGTATTAATACATAGTTATTCAGTATATGCAAAATATCGAATGGAGCATAGTAGTCCACAAGAAAAAGTCCAAGTCATGAGGAGAAGCAATAAATGCCTTCTCCTGTAGTTTGATGCTTGGAATGATCTAAGCTAACTGCTAAAAACACTGAGTGAATCAAGAAGCAGGGAACATCACATGTGAGCGGGAAGGCAGACACGAAATGAGTGTCAGGTGTTACGACAGAAATCTGAAACCCTTTGCACAGCATCTGAATCCCAGCCCAGCTCCAGAATCCAGCACAGCCTCCCTTCTGCAGGGCTCCCCAGGGTCAGAAGCTTTTGGCAAGTGAAGGTGGCCACTGACTGCATCAAGTGTCACAGTCATGTAAGTATGGGCCAAGCCCTCCTGGCCCTGACAGACCAGACAGCCAAACCAAGACAAGAAAAATATTCCCTTTCTTCCAGCTTTAATCCACCTAGGGAGGCAGCATGGATGGTGATAAAGCCATGAAAGGGCACATAAATACCTCAGGACGGCTTCCACTCAGAGCCTGCAGGACTTTATTTTAATAGTTGAACAAGTACAAAAAGCAGCTGATATTCTCCTTTGAAAGCTGCTGTGTGCCACTGACAGCTGAGATGATTTACAGGAGCCATCAGAAACTTCAGCCTGCTCCTCTCAACAGCTCATTTTTATTCAAGAAAACAAAGTAAAATGGGCTTCACATTAGGCTCTCCTGCTGTCTTAAATCATTAAATAATTGTGTTGAAATTCATCGTGACCTTGTGTTGTGCTCCTCTAAATATCTCAGAATTATTCTTCTAAAGTAAACCAAATCAAAGAAACCTATGATCCCAAATAAAGAGCCTAATATTGATAACAAGCTTTCTTTTTCACTAACAGCCAGACCATTACCACTCCCTGGCTGATAATGCCTGTAAATTAAAACATCCAGTGACATTTAAGCAAGCAGAGAGTTGACAGAAATTCCCATCAAGCCCTCCTTGCAAGGTTAAGAGAAGACCTTCAAGAGAAAAGAAATTTGATTGGCGATACATTTCCCAGGTCGAGAGGGGCTTCATATTGTGCCCTAATGTATGACTTCATTATATCATTTATATGCTTCTGCTCTGGCATCAGTCATCACTAACGACCCAGCCCTTCCTCATCCTTCACACAGCACTCATCACAACTGGCTCCTCTCAACATTTCTGTCCCTTTTTGACCAAGGTACTGGTTGCCATCTCAATTCATTACCATCAAAACATGACAGCTACAGAATTAGCTGCAGAAAAAGGAAGATTAGATTCCCAAAAGCAGAATTCTGGTCCTTTCAGCAGGGAGCTGAGCAGTGCCACTACCAGATTGCAGAGGTCCTCACCTCTCGGGCTGTGCTGCTGGTTATGAGCAGCTGCTCTGAAGCTCCACCAGTGGAACTGGCTAGCAGCTACCTTTCCCTTTCCATCCAAAATGCAAGAAAACTTCTTTTTAGCATTCTCCATCTGCAAGCCTGTCATTGCTTTACTCTGCAGAAGTCTAAATGCCTTGTGCTGCTCCTAACACAGGTAGGAGAGGGATGGAAGGGCTTGGAGAGGTCTCTGCTCCCTCCTTCCACCTTCCCAGGAGTGCTTTTGAATCTTCCAGGGGATATCCACCTGAAAGTTGCCAAAACAAACCCTCTTCTGCCTCTTCCAAGCCTTTCCCTGGTACAGGCTACAGTATTCCCACAAAAAGTCTACTGGAATATTCGCACAGAAAGTCTACTGGAATAGTCCAAAACTGAAAGGACATCTTAAATCTCCCCTTCAGTCTTGCTGCTCCATCCCAAAGGAGGACACAGCTATTCTTCAGCAATGTTTGCCAAGCCAAATGTGCTTTGTATTGCCAGTACCTGTCCTGTGCTTCAATCCAAAGAGTAATGCCACCATTCCAGAGCCATTGACACAATCCGGAACAGCCGGTCAATATAAATCACAATGTCCTAATGAAGGATAAAAAGAAAAGGAACATTTATGTGGCAGACATATTTCACAGCGCATTTACACTGGCATTTTTCAAGAGCTGAAAAGGTATATGGATAGAGGGTGAGAGAGGAGAAGTGAAATAAAGAACTATGATATACTCGCAGGATGTCTGTTCTGAGCACAGACAAATTTCTGAAAACTTTTTAAAGGTCATGGTTGCTTGAATTTACACTGAAAACTTGAATTTTTTTTCTTTTACCTTGCTGATCTTAACATGTCCTTCTCCTTTGTGATCTCATGCCATGCCAAAGCTAGTTACTAACTTTCTTAGGTTTGCTATTACTGTTGAGGAAGTATTATATTTATGATGCACTATATTACGGTAATAATTAATAACAATTTACTTCAAGAGTTTTCATTAGTGTGATCCCTGACACAAAATGCAGTGCAGAACACAACAAAATAATATTAGTAATAGAAATACAAACAAGAGATTCAACTATCTGTACAGTTCAAGGAAGTGGTACCTATTTTAAGGAGATCTTGCTGGTTTTTAGAAGTGTTTAACCAGCATGAAAGGAAACCTCCTATGAGCATGTGAGCTTTGATGTCTGAAGACTTCGTATTGCCATGTAATTCTTTTAGCTCATTTCTCCTCTGCAGTTCTGAAGGCTTCATTGTCACTAGTACTCCAGAATAAACTCAATAATTGAGGTCCTTAATTTTTAGTCTGTTTGCTTGATCTTCATATCTTTAACTACAGGGAACCTCCATATCGGATGTCACGACAACAGAAAAAATGCCATAGAACATTTAATGCTCTTTTAAAGGCTACAAGCATCTTACTTTTCTTCCTTTTTTTTTTTTCCTATTTTTTTTTTTTTTCCCTCTAGGGATTGCTCACACTTACAGCTGGTGAGGGATGAGCAGGTTAATGACAGGACCATAAAATAAAACTCCACTTAAAGTCAGAATAAGCGTAGCAGCAAGTACCAGGATCTTCGGAAAACCTAAATGAGTCTGCCAAAATGGTTACATATGTAGCAGGAACAGCAAGTAAATCCAAGTCTATGGTCCTAAAGAGTAAGTGTAATCACTATTTTATCTCCATTTAAGTGATACATTAGGACAGAAGGAACGCCACTGCTTTCCTTGCTGCGCAAACAGATATTTAACAGTGGTAGCATTTATGCAAACTACCTATTAAGCTTCTAAGAAAGTGCCAAAAAACGCAGCAAAGTAATTAAATAATGGACGAGGCCTGAGTTTTTGTATAAGGTTTCCAAACCATAAAAGCAATGCCAAAAGATAGTATAAATTCGGTATTGTTTGAATGGACTCTTGAAGTCCTGTACTCTAATCTACTCTTTATTACTCATCCACAAAACATCTAGCAATTTTTATTACAAGTCTCATCCATTACAGTATTAAACTTAAATTCAATATACACTGCAAGGTCATGATCCTGCTGGTAATGAAAAGCTGTGTCTCATAGAGCCTGCTTCATTTAAGGCTTAGATCCCTTGACCTACTGAAAAAAATGAGCCTCACAAAAGGCACACTCAGATGTCAGAAGGAGTCGGCTCGGCATCCAAGTGGAAAGTTTACTTAGCATCTCCAAAAGCTTTAATTGCACGCCAGGCCCGATTTATAAAGCCTTTCTGATGTTCATGTTCTGGAAGAAAACCCCTCTGGTTATCTGATGTCGAAGTTGAAATTAGTCCTTTGGATCAAATAACCACAGCACAAAACAATTTAAGCCCACTGAATGTGCATTTTACCTGCCGCTGGCTGCAGCGAGCCCATAATCTTTGGAATCATTACCATTTTACTCAATATTTGCTAAGTTGTGTGTTAGACTTTGTAGTATTGCATCAGCAAATGTAATAACATGCATAATGCTGGTTTTGAAAAGGTAAATAGCATATTCTGGTCTGAATATATACTACGGATGAAGTCAGAGTGACATAGTCCAACCTGTGACATTACTAATTATAGAGGACCTTATATTCTTAATATTTGGAAACAGATGTTTACATTGACAAAAACCTAATCCTTAAACCGTTTTCACATCTTTATCTCCTTTTCCTTGCTTAATTATTTTCCTTCCTCCCATCTTATTACCTTTTTAGCATCTGAAACTGAGTGATTGCTTCATCTCGAAAGCAGTGTGATACCTTAAATTGTTTGCATTCGATTCTGGAGCATGCAGCCAGGATTTGTCAAACAAACAACATAAGGCATGTGTTCTTGATGAGGTAGGTCAATTAATACTAATTGTAGTGCTCCTGTTATCTCACTGCCCTTGTCTCTTGCCACTAACTGGCCAGATAAGGACTTCTGTGAGATAACAGACCCAGACCAGCTGCAACACCCATCCAAAGGTAGAAAATTGCACAAAACCTGTCTACTTATTGCTTAGCAACAGCATAGTACTGCCTTAGTACCCTGATTTGCCAAGGCACTTCTGTTTTGCAGAATCACAGAAGCCTCTAGGTTGGCAAAGACCTCCAAGACGGTCGAGCCCAATTGCCAACCCAGCACTGCCATGTCCACCACAAAACCCTGTCTCCAGGTGCCACATCTACTTTTAAGTTCCACCAGGGATGGACTCCATCATCCCATCTGCCTGTTCCAATGCTTCCAAGACCATTTGTTGAAGAACTTTTTCCTCATATTCCATTTAAACACAAACTTACCCACCAGAACAACTTGAGGCCATCTCCTCTCACTCTGTTACCCAGGAGAAGAGACCAACCCTCACCTGCCTACACCTTCTTTCAGGTAATTGTGGAGAGCAATAAAGTCCCCACAAGCTTCCTTTTGTCCAGACTCAGGAATGCATGAGGATAAATTAAAAAAACTCCTCTATGATATTTTTCTGTTTGCACATGAAGATCTTTTCCTTTTTCCACCCAGAATTCTCCTCCTGGAGATATTGGATCAGTCTAATAAAAATCTTTCTTCCATCTGCAAAACCAGTGAGATGGAAACCAGTTGTACCTTCATATTTAGGGACATATTTACTGTCAGCCACACAATTTTCCCCTCCCTGGTATGAAGAACTACTTTCAAGTCAGTTTTCTGTAGCAAAATACCTGCTTGTGAATGGTTGTCAGGAATAAGGGTTCCTAATCTGGCTAAATGAGCTAAACTAGAATAGATAAAAAAAAATAATTGGGCTTCAGGCAAGGGTGCTGGGATTTGCAAACCATGCTGGGAATGCAAAGACACCATGGCAAAAACAGAGTTATTGCTGACTGCATTGCTCTCACTGTGAAAACAGTTGTAGAGCCCATCCCAGAAATTTAAACACTGAGTGCAGGATAAAGAGTGGAAGACATATTTTATAAATGGAGACTAAAAAAAAAAAATTTCAGCACTTAGGGATTTCATGTGACACTCCCATTGTTAGGGATGGGAGCTGAGCCAAAGTGGTTATACTTAAAGGGAAGAGACAGTTTGGAACTGTTAAATGGAAATATTTTGTACAAAATGTGTAATTAAATTGTGGAACACTCTTTCATTGTAAAATACTTTGCTTAATAGCTTAGGAGGATGTAAAAAATACTTAGATATTGTAGACATAGGGACACATGCAATATATCATATCCAATTACTCTAAAATAGTGTATTACTCCCCACTTGTAGCACAGAAAAAATTCATCTTCCTGTTCAAGATACGGTGCTCTCAACCACTGGGGTAAATATTAAAACTGCTCCCTAGAAGTACATGTCTAAAACTGGCAAAGCTAACAAGAAATTATGAAAAAACCCCATTTTTCATACCTCAAGGAATGGTGTAACACTGATCCTTATATGCAGAGCTGAGCCTTATGTCCTCATTAAAAAGATGTGTTTTCCACAGACAGAGAAGGAAATTGAGTAGAGCACATAGAAGTTAATTCCCAGCTCATTGATGGAATTCTTGATCCACTGAGGGTCAAGTGATGAAATCATTGACCACCTAAACCATTAATGAGCAAAGCCATGTCACTTGCAGGTGGTTTACAGCTGACGTGACATTACAGGAAGGAGCAGGTGGTGACGAGTCCTGAATATGCTTTCTATCCACAGAAATAGGTGAGGGGGATAAAAATAACAAAAATCCCCAGGCAATAACTTTGAACAATTATTTGGCGGCACAGAGTGTTTTGAAGACAGCAAAAAAATACAAAGTGGAGTGAGGCAGGAAGAGGCTGATTTCTCATTACAGAAAGAAGGCAAAGCTTGCCCTTCTCTCATATCAGCAGGAGCTTAGTGACACCTCATTATTTTGGAAGTTGCTACTACAAACAGCTTTACCAAACATCGAGTGACTAAAGCACCTGCTTCCACTCTTGCCTTTGTCTCTGTAAAAGCATTGAGCTTAGTATATTCTCTTTAGAGTCAGGTTGGCTTTTTTTTGCCTTGTCTTATACTAAAATATTCATTTTTAAGGGGAAAGTCCTTCAAAATAGCATATCTGAAAGAATAATACCACCAGTAACCATCAAACTGCAGTAACACAAATATTCACTGAGGAAATCAGGAATTAGAGCTGATAACATTGCTCTGCAATGACATTAAGGCTGTTAATTTAATGGTAACTTCACATTCTGAGGGGTCTTGTTCTCAAACTTTCATTACATTTCACAAAGGAAGTTAAAATAATTCTTTCCTTCACTCAGCACATGATACTTTGTAAGAGCAAACTGCAAAATTAAAGTAATTTCGGAAGAGATTTCAGATACAAATCTCTGAGCACACTCAGTGGCCTGTCAGGGATGTGCAGCAGACCATAGGAAAACACAGATCATCGGTGACAACAGTGTAAATTTCACCTCTCCCTGCTGAAAGGCATCACATTGGCTGTAAAAATAAACCATTAAGATCCCCCAGAACCTCAACATCAAGAAGGAGATTTGAACTGTGGGAAAGAAATGTCAGTGTTATTACTTGAGTTATACTTCTCGCTTGCTAAAACTTTTTTTTTAAATTATCTACAACTAAATTATCTTTGCAACTAAACTTGATA